TTTTTTTTTTTTTTTCATTTCAGAAATACATTTTCCTCTTTTTCTGTTTCACAATTAAGGTATGTTAGAATCAAAACTCTCTCTGTTAATCAAATATACTTGATAGAAAATTTAAAATTTCCTAGGCCATAATGTTATTTTAGGGAACATGTGACTTACAGATGATTGTTCAGTAAATAATTCCTCACCCATTCCAAATAGTTCCATAGCCACAAAGAGTAATTTTCTTGATGTGGGGACTATACAAAGACACATTTCCCAGGATTCAGTATTGAAAAATGTTAGTTTTTTTTTTAAGTTTATTTATTTATTTTGTGTGAGAGAGAGAGAGAGACAGGGAGGGGCAGAGAGAGAGGGAGAGAGAGAATCCCAAGCAGGCTCTGCACTGTCAGCACAGAACTCACGGGGCTCAAACTCATGAATGGTGTGATCATGACCTGAGCTGAAATCAAGAGTCGGATGCTTAACCAGCTGAGCCACCCAGGCGCCCCATGTTGGGTCTCTTTTAGGGTAAAATAAACAGGTTACTTTTCCTTTTCCTAGACAATGTGGATTTGTAACGGATTGCGTGGCAGAATTCTCGGCTTTGACCTCTTGGAAGCTTAGAGCTTGTATGATTTGCGTTTTTATCTTCTAGTCTTACCCGTCATCATTCTGTGAGATCCTTGTTTCTATTCTTCAATCATTTGTTTTTATTATAATACAAATACACACACACATAGACAGATAGACACATACATAAATATACGTGTGTTTAAATATATGTATTTAGGGGCGCCTGGGTGGCGCAGTCGGTTAAGCGTCCGACTTCAGCCAGGTCACGATCTCGCGGTCCGTGAGTTCGAGCCCCGCGTCGGGCTCTGGGCTGATGGCTCAGAGCCTGGAGCCTGTTTCCGATTCTGTGTCTCCCTCTCTCTCTGCCCCTCGCCCGTTCATGCTCTGTCTCTCTCTGTCCCAAAAATAAATAAACGTTGAAAAAAAAAATTAAAAAAAAATTAAAAAAAAAAAAAAATAAATAAATAAATAAATATATGTATTTAAAAACATCTAAATCATTTTTGAATGAGTCAAGATACAAAGATATCAATATATGAACAAATGTCCTTATTGAGCCCTTCCAACATGCCACCCTAAGTGCTATATGCACTGGGCGTATTTTATAGGACGTCTCAAGTCCAACACATGGTACTTAAGTGCTGCAAAAAAATATATCCCTGCTGGTCAAACCTCTGAACACAAGCTAGCCATTATAGGATCATACTTTCTTCAAGTATGAGGAAGTGCGGAGAAGTCAAACGATAACCATGGGCAGACCAAGCAGGAGGGGTGCAATCGGGGCCGCTGCATTGTAGTCTCAGCTGTGGCACACAGTTTTGGAAATAATGACACGTTTTTGCCGCTTCCTAATTTCTGATTATTCGTCGCACTGCTTGAATCAGTTACTCACCAGAAGGCTGAATCTTGTAGACCCATCATTTTCATCAAATCCTTCCATTTTTTCCTCTCTTTTGTAACGTTGAGCGATATAAAGTGTATCAATGGAAAAAAGTAAAGAAGGCAGTAGAAAATAAACATCTCCTTTTGAAGAATGTTTTTATGAATAAAAGGTAAAGTCTTCATGTTTATAGCAGTAACTGACATCAACTCTTCTGTCACAGAGCGGTTTGTTGCGATCTAAAGTGGGGTTTAAACAAGGAAAATCATTATTTGAAAAAATAGGAACTGAACAGGCTATGGTGAAATCCACACAAGCTATGAGGGCTAGACCAACATCAATTCTCTGATTTTAATATTGTTCTGCGGTTATGAAAGATATTACTGTTAGGAGTAACTGGGTGGTGGGTACACGGACCTCCGTGTACATTGGTTTTTGCCATTTCCTTTCCCATCACTCTGAAACTCCTTGAAAATTAAAGTTAAAAACAAAAGCAATGTGTTCCTTCGCCCAAATCCAGTCTCAGCCTTTGTATCCCTACTTCATTGTACAAACGTATGAAAACCTGAGCATATATCACCTTTCACCCAAATCTCGATACCTATGGAACGAGTTTACGTGAATTATTAGAACTTTTCTTACTTGTATGATAGCAGCGTCAATGGCAGTTTGTAAAGTCACAAATCCTCTATTCCAGTATTTGGCCAGAGAACAGGAAAAGTCACCATGCATATTCCAACAATGAGCTACAAGCACAAAGGGAGGCGATACCATAAGCGACGTTAGCCGATGGACGTCATTAGAGAATAAGAAATGAGAACCCAAGGGAAAACAATCTAGAGGAGTCTCCACCAGTCAGAACTTATGACCACATAGGAAAAAAAAATACCAAATAAAGTTCTTTTTTTTTTTTTTTTTAACATTTTTAACATTTTTTTATTTATTTTTGGGACAGAGAGAGACAGAGCATGAACGGGGGAGGGGCAGAGAGAGAGGGAGACACAGAATCGGAAACAGGCTCCAGGCTCCGAGCCGTCAGCCCAGAGCCTGACGCGGGGCTCGAACTCACGGACCGCAAGATCGTGACCTGGCTGAAGTCGGACGCTTAACCGACTGCGCCACCCAGGCGCCCCCCAAATAAAGTTCTTAATGAGGCAAATTTTATTCTCCGAGACTGTAGTATGCGTAGGAAGTCTTAGACATGAAAAGAAGGTGAAAGCTGGGGCGCCTGGGTGGCTCAGTCAGTTGAGCGTCTGACTTCAGCTCAGGTCATGATTTCACAGTTCAAGAGTTCGACCCCCCCCCCCCCCATCGGGCTCGCGGCTGTCAGCGAAGAGTCCGCTTCGGATCCTCTGTCCCCCTCCCACCTCCCCTCTCTTGAAAATAAATAAATACTTGAAAGAAGATGAAAACAAACATGCCACTCCTACCATGCTGGATTCCCTGCCGTGCCTCAAAATGCTAAATGCACTCTTGTGCTAGAACTGTTTTTTGCTCATATGCTCATATGCTCTGTCTCCTGACGGATCCATGGCTCATTCCTTCCCTCTATCCTGATCTCTTCTCAAAAGCGATCTCAGCACAGAGGCCTCCCCTGGCCACCATAAATAAAAATATCTGGAAGAGCATTCGGGCTCTATCTTGCCAGCCTGCTCTATTTTACTTTGTTGTTTTATCGCCACTTGGCAGAGTGCATCATTTTTGTCCCACCCCCTGTCCCCGACTGGAATGACTCGTGCAAACAGGCTTCCCTCTGTGTTTTGCTCACTTTCATCCCCAGGGCCAGAACAGTGCAGGACACAAAGAAGACACTCAGAGAATGAATGGGAAAGAACCGATTCTCTTAGTCACATCAATTCTGCTTCCTGAAAGGCCCTCAGACCCATTCACTCTCCTTCTCAGCTGCCGCCAGTCATGTCTGAGCTGCCTTTGGCTCCCTGGTATGTTTGGCTGTGTTCTCCCCCACCGCTCTGCAACCCATGCCCTGGGCCATATCCAGACAGCTCCCTTAGGCTTGGGGGTCTAATCTCTTCTCTGCCCTAATTAAAGTACCTCAATGGCTCCCCAACACCCTAGATTTGTAGGACGTCACAGGTCCAGCCCTTGGGTTAACTTCAGCCTCAGTCTCCTGTCACATTCCTTTCCATGTCCTCTGTTCAGCTATACTCATCTTCTTCCATGGATACAAACAGATGCCCTTGGCACCTCAGGACTTTCACACCTGCCCTTCCTCTGTCTGAAATGCAATGCTTTTCCCACCCCCATGTGCCAGTCCTTCTCATTTGAAACATCACTTCGCCCCGTAAGACTTCTCTCATCTCACAGCTTATTAGGAACCCCTGGTCTAAGTCTCCCACCCACTCAGCACCTCTCTTTGCACTTGTCATGAACTCATCAATGTCTGCCTTTCCTGCTGACCTGGAACCTCACCTGAGGCCAGGACCTCTCCGTCTGGATCACCCTGCATCCTTTGCAACATGCCCCTGTGTGCTCACTTTATCTCCATTGGATGACTCCATCATGTTTTATCGTGGGAAGATATGATTGCCCTCGGAATAAGTTCAGCGATACAATGTGCTCTATCTACTTTATCATGTTCTATCAAAAGCGTCTCTGTTGCCCATCCCAACCTATTCCTTAGGTTGAAAACATGGAAAATACCACAATGATATTTTATATGGAAAGTCACCTGTGAAAAGATCTTCCTTCAAAAATGGAATGTTATATCCCTGAACAAATTTTAGCTTATAAGAGAAAGCATCATTAAAGATGATTCCCACCAGGTCTGCAAAACTGTCTAAAAGTAGTTTATCCATGGATTTTTGATTTGGCACTCCGATGATTCTTCTTTCTGTGGATGACAAGGTAAAAATAGACATAGAGGGTTGCACACTTTCACCGCAACGGAATGTGATATCCAACTGTGTCATCAGATTGGAATGAAACTAAAATAATTTTCCACTTAAATGAAACTTATCCCAAAAGGCAGGGAAGGCCTTTTGAAAAAAAAAAAAATGGTTTAGATTCTAGACTCAGGAGACATGCATGAGAACTGAGTGTTTTCTTTTAGTAATGACAAGTATTATGGCAAATTTTAGGTATAGAGAAATATTATACTAGGGTAAGTATGCATATCATACTTAGAGTAGAGTAGAGTCAGGGGATTCCAGATTGCAGATTTACTGAAGCAAAGACACCTCATCTGATTTTTGCCTTATGTGGGAACTAAGATTGCCAGGTAAGTGTATTTCTCACAGCCAGCAAAGTCACCTGTGAGAAATCGAGGATTAAAGAGCAGACTACCAAACTGCACCCACCTTGCCCATGAGTGAAATACACATTTGATCTTAGTTATCTCAGTTACATAGTGATTTCATTTAGAGTGAAGGCCTTTAAAGATGTGTACAAAGTATACCATATGCAGACAGAGTATCTTTAGATTAGCCATCCTTACTTTTCATAGTTCTGACGTTATAATTTAATAGCTAGATTTAATTTCTTTTATTTCGGTGGTTTTTTTTTTCCTGTGTTGTAAATCTTAATCACTGTATTTCCATGTTAAGGGCACCCGCACCCACAAATGGCATATTCTCCTAGACACTATTCTGCAAATCTGAAATGATAAATTTATTGTTTTAAGTAAATTCCAATAGAAATGCAAACCTCCCTAATTGGACCCCCATCAAGCTGAAAGGCTTTAAAACACTAATTGTTGCGAGAGAAAGAAAAAAACTAACCAAATTTGTAGGCTATCTTGATAACCTAAATAATTAGCATGATAGATCACTGTCAGTTCGAATTCAACATGTAGACATCAATTCAAAAAGATATGAAATAATACCAATAATTCTTTGTTGCCATTAGTACACCTACCTTTCACAAAGGGAGCAAATGTCGTTTTATTCACTATCTGCTGTGTTATATCAGAGACGGGTGTATACACAACACCTATAGAGTTATTAAAGTTATCTGCCCTTCCCAGAGCTTGGGGAGGAATTTCAGGAAAATATGTCTTTTCTCTGAAGTGTGAAAACAGTCCCATGTACAGTCCCAGAAGTATTGGGAATATCCATTCCTATAACAGGAGGAAGAACGAATTTAGATTATATTCTCTTAAAAGCCTCAGCCAATACCAAAGAACTGCTGAAGATAAATTCTGATTTTGCCACATAGTTGGCTTCTCTTTGCTCTCAACTCTTCAGAGCAAAGGGAACCCAACAAAAGATGCACACCGAGATAGTTGCCACATAGATCATTCTCCAACACTAGAACTAAACTTTTGTATTAAATCATGAACTACTGCAGAGGCCATCATAAAAACCAACAGGGTGACTAATAGGATGACACTTCTTAGGCCTGGGCATCAGACTTTATAGTCTCTAAGACACAGAGGGTCCCAGATAGAGTTCATGATGGCAAATAGCAACATTTTGGTCAATTGTCATATTCTTGTATTGGAAATCAAAAAAAACAAAAACAAAAACAAAAACAAAAAAAACAAAAAAAAACATGAAAAGGAACTGAGTGCTGGATATTGCCCAGTGGTTCACCAATATCAGTAATCTCTTCCTGCTTAAAACAATGCTAGACCACATTCCCAGCCTCTGGGAATGAAGTCAGACCAAGCGATTGAGTGATTGAGTTCCAACCATAGAACATGAGCAGAAATGATATGCAACCTTCAAGGCCTGACTTGTGGAACCATGCAAAACCTATATTCTGTCTCAGTCCCTGGACTTTCTGAAGTTCTGACTAGATTCAGACGATCCAGGGGAGATCTCCAAGGCCTAGGGAGATGGCAGAGTCCCTAGATGAAGGAGCTCGGGTCCCTGACTGACTGTATGGAGAAGATTCCTTCACCTACCAGACCCACTTTAGTTTCACTGTCAACCTTATTTAGACTATGAGCAAAGTGAAAAACAAACTTTTGCTGAGTTAAGCCTCTGAGATTTGGGTCAATTACCTGTAGATGGCCCACCTACCTAATGCAACTGACAATCAGTGGTGGTACTTGGTCCGTAATTCATGGAAATAGTCTTTACGTAGAAAATTTATGGCTTTGAAAAGAAGTGCCCCAAGTTAAAATTTCTCAATTTCTGCTGGGGCTCTTTTGATTATTTCTTTACTCTAATTTTGTTACATATGGTAGCAGCTTTAATAGCTGCTATAATTTCCCGGGGTGCCTGGGTGGCTCAGTCAGTTAAGCATCCAACTCTTGGTTTTGGCTCTGGTCATGATCCCATGGTCATGAGACTGAGTGCTGTGTTGGGCTCCATGCTCAGCATGGGATTCTCTCTGTCCCTCTCTCTGCCCCTCTGCCTC